TTCAATGATTTGGAAAAGTCTCATATCACTTGGCTAGTATTATAGTTTAAAATAGTTGTCAGCGCATATCCTTGTTTTGCGATAGTGAGACATTGCGGGATTTCGCAGTTATGCATGTTATGATGCGCAATCATTATTTCGCTGTCAGAGATAGATGTATTTATTTTGATTACTTGTTCGGATCTAGATGCTATCGTAGTCAGATTTAATTAATTGCTTGTCTTATGAAACATAAGCTTAATTTTCGAGAATGGGGTCAATAAATATCCCTTATCAAAATTTGTGCTGGCTTGTAAGATTTTCAAGTTATCTAGGCTAATGAGACCATTAAAAATATTGTGAAATTCAAAAAAAAGAATTTTAATTTCATTGCTTTTGGTAAATTGAATATTTTAGATGCTGGAATCAATAATCGAGTTTCAATCGTTTGAAGTTTGGACCTCAAATTTCTGGAAGCATTTATCTGCCTAGAAATTCAGCAATGATATTAGATCTGTAGCATATATGTACCTCTTATGTGGTAGCCACTATATGCGAAATAATGAGCCATTATTACAATTAAATTGGATACTTTTTTTACAATGCACATTTTAGAATATCTGTCAAATCCTTATAAAAATTGGTACAATAGTCGTTTTAAGTATTTAATCTTTGTAACTCTTTTACGCCTAAACAACTGAACGGATTCAGATGAAACTTCACATAAATACAGCTTATACATCAGAGTAACATACATGCTAATAATAATATTATAACAATGAGTTATAATAAGTAAGTCGGAAAAATGCTTGCTCCCTGAGAGCTATCTTGGCTATCTTGGAGTTACATGAAGTTAGAATGTTCACCTTGAATAGTTCTAAATGAATGTCCACATCTTGTGTGGTAGCCACTATATGCAAAATACTGAGCTATAAATAAAATTGAATTGAACACTTTTTTCACAATGCACATTTCAGAATATCTGTCAAATTCTTATGAAAATTGATACAATTTATAGTTAACATAACTCGATTCTCGAAACTATTCATTACTTAGTACAGTGGGCATATTTCTTTAGCTACTGTATTCTTGAAGTAAAAATATAAATTACTAGCTGTTTCTCGCTCTTATATTAATGTACAGCCGGAGTTACTGAACCGTTTTTGTCACCGTTTTGGTGTCAAAAATCGAACAATCCTCTTACTTTTGGTCAGAAAGACATTCATGAGAGCCCAAATATAGTCCACAGTTTTATCGTAACACTGAATGTTGAATAAGACTTGCATTCATTGTGAAAACCATTGCCGGAATATTCATTTCATGTAGATAATCGATATAATCTATTGTGACAGGTGAATCATCTATATTTCAGCTTTTCTATTGTGAATATTATAGAAACAGCAATCTGATTTTTCCTGACCTGAAAATTACTAGAAATGGGAATTATTTCATTTACAACATTGTGTGGAAGAAACTATGTTTCGCAGGCCTGCTTTTCTACTTAATACGTAGAAGTTCCTTCTTGAAATTTCCCTCGGGAAATCTATAGAAACTCATATTCAAAATACTGCTAATGAAGGTCACATCCTTGCAAAGCTTCGCCCAATTCAGTCATTGTTATTATGAACAAATGTTCACCCTTTAGTAGAAACAGAAACAGAACACAATCATGAATTTCTTTTCAGAACAACCAATTCTTTCAGTATGACGTCACCAAATTTCCCTTATCTTAATTTAGTAGAAATGAACTCTGATGCAACTACAAATTATGCAGTGAATTGACCCATGAAGGATGAAGTAGTGTCGAAACGCCAACATTAAGATTTGTTACTTTTCAAATACCATATTAAGTTTCTTTTCAATATTATATTTTTATCTTTCTCCTTTTAATGAATTTGACAATCAAATAATACATACATTATGTAAGGTTTGGTCCAAATGAGTTTGTCTATTCGACTCTTCACTGCAAACTGTAAGGTTTTATTGTGGCTCATACCAGGGTAATTCAAACTTCACCTTCTCAATGAAGCCGATCACTTCGATTGGTAGATAACCTTTCAGGTTCAGCGACGAGGAAAACTGTGCCGAATATAGAAAACCTGATCCGAGTAGCGGTTGGGAAGGTACAAAGTATGTGCGTAAAACATTGCAGCGTAAAACATATCGATTGTACTATTTGATGTTAGTTACGTAATTTGTGTCAAAAATCGAAACTACTCTGATTCTTGCCCCTGTGAGTTCATTGCTTTTGAAAAATGCGATGCTATTATTCCACAACGTAGAAAACTTAAAAAAAAAATATTGAATTTTCTACTTTATGGAACTTCGAGAAGTATTTCATAAACTATGAAACATGAACACCAACAATGAAAGAACTTTTTCGAGGTGGTGTCGTTACTCCGGTTTCCTCTATACAGGCCGTTTCTTTTATCATGTGGCAACATTGCTATATTCTGAACCGTAACAGATACGAAGACGATTAAATGGGAAAAAAGGTAATTGTCATCGGGAACAATACAATGGACAGTCAAAGAAAATTTACGAGGACTATCGCCCTTCTCGAGTTATACGGGGAAAACAAAAATACTGTTTTTCGTTTTTTTCGAATGGAATTATTATTTTGGAAAATATCAAAAAATGGAAAAATAAAATTTTATTGTATTCGAAGTGTACTATGACGATATAATAATGAATATTCGATAAAACGTTTCGTGTCAGCATGACCACCATCAACTTTATTTTAAATACGGACCTGTCTTTTTTATTACAGATATTGATGAAGCGATAAATTCACAATCCAAGGGTATATCACATTTGATATTTTTATAGCATTTCATTTGAAATAATCACCATCATCAGTGACAACAATCAAACAAAGGAACGATTTATTTCATCATGACCTTTTGGGAAAAATGGAACCAATACAGAAAATCAAAGTTACATGGCAATCTACATTAAATGCTCGATTTGGCGACCTCTTTGTTGAATGCACATAAGTTGTCGGTCCAGACAATTTCTGTGGCAATTTTCTAACATAATAGGTGTAATACTAATACATGGATATCTTATTTTTTGTTTGAGATGGTCGATATCTGTACTTGGTGTTGAAAAAACTTTATCCTTCATGTATCCCCAGACAAAAAAATCTAAAGGAAAAACATCTGGGGATCGAGCTGGCGAGGTAATTGGTCCATTGTTTCCAATTCATTTTCTAGGGAATATTGCAACTAAAAGATCTCTCACTATTGCTGCATTATGAGGAGGAGCGCTGTCCTGTTGAAGTTATTGTATTTCATGACGGATATTAAGTGGCAATTCATATAAGTAGCCATCGAATTTATTGAATAGAAAATGAAGATACATTTCATCATTCAAATGATCATCGTAAAAAAAAGAGCTAAGTATGTTTGTTCCCACAATTCCCAACCAAACATTTACTCCGATCCTTTTTTCGAAATTGGTTTTCCTATGTGAATGTTCATTTGTATTATTCCACCCATAATGAACATTTCTGTTCTGTTAATCAACCATTGTTGGTGAATTTTGATTCGTCCGTCCATAGTATTTTTTTACGAATATTTCCAACTTCAGTATTTCTACGTCCTAACTACTTCGCAAATCGTACTTTCCTTCCGTAATATCTTTCATAGAGGTGATGACCTTTGCTTATCCTGTAGTATTTACTTCAAAACAGTTCTGGTGGATTTTACAGAAATCCCCATTTCGTGGGCAATTTCTTGTAAAGAACACTTTTGATTAACATAATTTTTATAACTGGCCAATCTTAAATAAAAAAAAAACTGCGTAAATCTGTATGACGTAATATTTGCTTACCCATAACATTTACGAGTATTTGATTCCTCACACTTCCAGTAACATATTTTCTTGTTTTCTATCAAATACACCATAGTCTGTCAAATTTCTTTCAAATCGTTTAAACATTTGGATGTTTCGAAATACGACGATTCTGGTATAGCTCAACAAAAAAAAAAATCTATTTGATTTTGCATAACTAAATAGCATATCAGTCCTTTCATCATTTGAATACATCTTTGATATGTTCATAAGCGTCTGACAATTCTCAACAGATAACAACCAACACATTCATTTTTCCTGCCATAGAAATCAAGCAAAGCCTACGCGTTTAAGATGGTGAATAAATTAAGATGCTATTTGATCACACCAAATTATACATTGATCAAATTTCGACCAAAAACTGATATTTTCGTTACTTCAAGAATTGAGAATTATAAAAATATTACGAATTATAATTGATTAGGGAGAAATAAGCCTTGAAAGAGGGATTACGGCAATACAAAATTTTCCGAAACGAAAAAATACGAATTTTCATTGTATTAGGGTACATACTTGTCGAATTCATTGGGTTTTCTGAATTATATTTCGAAGGAATTGAAACAATTTATAAAAGAAGTAACGACAGGACCGTAATTTAAAATTGTTGTCACTGATGATTGTAGTTATTTCAAATGAAACGCTATAAAAATCAAATGTGATAAAAATCAAATGTGATATATTTTTGGATTGTGAATTCATCGTTTCATCAATATCTGTAATAAAAAACAACACAGATCCGTATTTAAAAAAAAATTTGATGGTGGCCATGTTGACACGAAAAGTTTTATCGTATTATTTTATTATTAATTTTTTGATATTCTCCGAAATAAAAATTCCATTCGAAAAAAAGCATTTTTGGATTTCCCCGTATAACTTGAAAAGTGCAATAGTCCTCGTGAATTTTCTTCGACCACTGTATTGTTCCCGATGACAGTTACCTTTTTCTCCATTTAATCGTTACGGTTTAGAATATAGCAATGTTACCCTATGATAAAAAGAACGGCCTGTATTTTTATTGAATATCAATTTAGTAAAACTGCAATTCGCTGTTTGAGGTCATCAGCGATGATACTTTTATTGCATATAAAATACCGATTACCTCATATTTATGAGAAAAACCAATAATAATCTTTTCGGAACAGATTCACCAAGAGTAAATAAATGAATCAGAGGTGAAATGAAAATATATTGAACTTCTTTTTGAGACTTAAAACACATGCATTTCAATAGTTTCGGTTGAACACATTATGTGATGACGGTACATAAAAATAACATGCTTCTTGGAAGGTCACTCATCTGGACAACCCTTCTTTATAAAATCATCCATAGTGGATAAATTTTTCTGTAGATCACCTAGACATGGAGTGAATAATTCCATCAGGTCACTCAAAAATTTTGAAGAATCACTTTTTATTGAGTCTTGATTTTGAAGGAGTAGTTGCCTAAATGACGAGAAGCATTTTGACAATCCTTCTTCTTTGCAAGATTTTGTGATCTCTTCAATTATTTCCTTTAGATTTTTGGAACTTTCCAATACCTTCGCCAGTTTCTCTCCATTCATGCATTTCGGAACAGTTTTCCGTGATTGTAGGGAGCTTATCTCAGATTTTAATTTATGCATGCAATTAGCTAATCGGTTGTCTTGACAGTTTACGAACTGAAAAAAAATCATTTGATTAAAATTGGAAATTATCATTCGAGACTATTGAAAACTGGAGAGAGAGCCATTGCTGATTCAATTGCGGTTGGCTTACTTCTTTACTAAACCTTAATTTCATCGAAGAAAGCTTTTTACATTCAATGTCAAAGTTTGGCTTTCTACTTCTCCATCTTGATACAAACAAATGTGGGAATCTTCCAAAGAAAGGAAGGAAGCAATCAATTTCAAAAGAAGTAACTCTATACATACAGTGTGTCTCACTTCTTACGGAAACACAATATTCGAGGTGGAACGATGAAACTCTCAGGACTGATGAAAATGCTCAAAATACACCTACAACTTGAATGGGGTTGGCCAAAGTGATATACACTGTCCGCCACTCGCGTTAGAACACCCCATTTTTACGGTAAAACATATTAGGGCGCAAAATAGGCTCAAAATTCCTTCAGATTCGTGATCAGGACTACCAACTCAATACGAATACACTTTTTTCCTGAAAAAATTTCAGACCTGAAAAATGCGAATTTGTCTCACTTATGGAAACACCCCCGTATCTTCCGTAATAATTGAAGTAGATTTTTTTTTGGTTTTGACATCAAAACATGAACGAAATTGTTTAAGAGAAACTCGACTTTTGTTTTCACATAAATAATTTATTTTTCATTTTGTTGTCAGGAAAGTTATTCCTTCTCAATAATAGAGAAAATGGTAATTTTGTAAGAGGAATGGAAACATGTAATCAGTGAGGTTTTAGGATGGTTGATGTCAGTTCATATTCTCATTTTCTCATTATTTAAAAAAAAAAGAATATTTTTTGGCGAAAAATGTTATGTACTTCAAAATTCTTTCGAAGTACCACTTTCAAAATCACATTTTCAATTAAAAAGCAAAACAATCAATTTCAAATGATTTAACTGTTGACAATTTTATATTTTCGTGCCTTCTATGAAATTTCCCTCCAATCGAACACATTTTTCTATGCGCCTTCTATTATTTCTTCCAACTCTTCTCAGTACTACAGGTGTGATTTCTCTACACGCTTACATAATTCTTGCACGGAGATCTTCCTTATTTGTTGGCCTATCCTTATAAACTTTATTTCTCAAGTTTCCCCATAAATAAAAATCCAGTGGAGTTAAATCTGGGGATCGTGGTGGCCATACTACGAGAGGGCTATTGGATCCTATCATTTCATAGGTAGATTCCTATTCAACCAAACCCTTGTTACGCCACTATTGTGAACTGGTAAACCATCTAACTCAAAAATCATGCTTTGTCTCACATCCAAAGGTAGTTCTTCCAACACATCGGAAAATGCATTTTCAAAAAAATCAAGATCTTTCAACAATATTGTCAGGTTGACAGTAAATATCAATGAGCAACTGTTTTCCATGGTGATTCCAGGGCACCGCATGATTCAATGAAACTGATGTAATTCAATCCTTTCAAATGATTTCAGACAACAATTCAGCAAGTAGGTAAAATAATCTAAATTCAACCTGTTCACCGAGTGTGATTTTTTCTTTAAAAATTACCAGTTGTTTCGGTGTTGCAATGAGTATGAAGATTAATTTTATTTCGGATGGTAAAATGTTTCCTTAATATTTCTTACGAGAAATGGCTTGCCTTGAATTTTGCGAAATTTTGATATGTTGTAGTTCTTGATGTGCTGATTGAAAGTGTCCACAGCCAAAGCTCAGAATTGTACAGTTTTTGAGTTGTGAACCTTTGAATATAGATTTTTTGCAGTTTTTGCTCATCAATCGAGAGCTCTCATTTCTGGTTGGGATAGAATTTGGATGTTCAGCAACCAGAATTAGTTTTACGAATAATCTTCTTCAGTCATAATAGATGCCGCCATCGATAATTTTTCATGCACTGCTTCACACTATCTCGATAATCTAAGAATGTGGTGCTGTGACATTTTCCTCAGATAGGCTCAAAATGGATGATAGCATCTCACAGCATCTGTATCTTTCATACCTGAGAGTACTCTCCAGATAGAATGAAGTGGTTCAGGTATTGGAAGCGAACTATTTTGCGCCNTGTTCCATCGCGAGTGGCGGACAGTGTATATCACTTTGGCCAACCCCATTCAGGTGGTAGGTGAATTTTGAGCATTTCCATCAGTCCTGAGAGTTTCATCGTTCCACCTCGAATATTACGGAAGATACGAGGGTGTTTCCATAAGAAGTGAGACAAATTCGGATTTTTCAGGACTGACATTTTTTCAGCAAAAAAGTGTATTCGTATTGAGTTGGTAGACCTGATCACGAATCTGAAGGAATTTTGAGCCTATTTTGCCCCCTAATATGTTTTACCGTAAAAATGGGGTGTTCCATCGCGAGTGGCGGACAGTGTATATCACTTTGGCCAACCCCATTCAGATGATAGATGCATTTTGAGCATTCCTATAAGTCCAGAGAGTTTTATCGTTCTACCTCGAATATTACGGAAGATACGGGGGTGTTTCCATGAGAAGTGAGACACACTGTAGACGTAGATCATGCAAAGAAGTAACTTTCAGACACAGACTGAAAAAAAAAGGTTTCTTGAAACAGCTTTTTTCCATTTAAATATTGAATTACACGAAAGAAAAATACTCTCGAAGCAAATACTTTTATATGAACGCTGAATTATACAAAAAAACATTTTTTTTTCAAGAAGGACAAGTAGAAAGCCAAAACCTTTTCTTCCAAAAATTAATCTCTCCTTTCAATTTATTTTTTTGTAATCATATATGTGAAGTGTTTTTTTATGTGCATTGACAAAAAATTTACATAATGCTTTCATAGGAATCACACGTGTTAGGAATCACACGTTGAAAGATAAGACCTCGTTAGTCCTTAGCTCGCACAAGTTTCTCAACTTCTGAGAGTTGTCGTTCGTATGGGGGCGACAGCTGATTAACGGAAAAACAGATTTTAAACAGATTTTTAAACAGATATATTTTTCTAAATTGAAGGTCTACAATTCGAAATCAAATCAAGAAGTTAGTAGAATCCGAATTTTCATCAATATTCATGTTTGAAAGATGTTAATTGACTATTGGAACATCAATAGAAAAGCGATCTGAGTTGGAAAGAATGTCATTGGATTAAATATGTAATAAATTAGTAGATTGATTCAATGTTCAGTTCATTTTCTCGTTTTTGAACATGTTATTGAAAGCTTGTTTCGTGAATTTTGTTTCAGTGATAATTTATTTTGAATGAACTCGATGATATTTGTAACATTATTTGGAGAAGATTATTGTCACATCAAGCTCTTTGTTTCAAGTATCGTAAAAGTTATGACACACTTTATCGAAATTTTTTTGTGAAACGAATTACTTAGATATAGAATAAGGAATATAATTGAAGAATCTACATGAATTTCATTGTGGAGTTCAGAATTGAAACCGAACGATATTCATTCAGAGCATAAATATATGATTAGGAATTCATCTTGTAGGCTGTCGTTATCTACAAATAGAAAGTAGATATGAAGTATCTCAATCATCTAGGATTCAGCTTATACCTACTAATATTATAAATGCGAATGTAAGTTTGTTTGTTACGGTTTCACGCGAAAACTACTCAACCGATCATCATGAAATTGTGTACACATGTTCTTGGAGGTATTAGAAGTAGCATGGAATACTTTTTATTTTAAAAAAATATTTTTTATGTAAGGTAAAAAAATTGCCAAAAAATCTCAAACTCTAGCTACTTTAACGTCATCTAGCATTCCAGTAATGAAATTCCAACCCTTAGTACCATAATACCGTGGCAGTGTATTATTCACAGTCACGACAATATCCAATCGAATCCAATCCGATTGACTATAGTTTCAGTTGTTTGGAATTTTTCTATATTTATTGTTATTTTTTTCTGTGATTTTTATTTTTAGGTTATTTTTATTACAGTGAAATATATTTTAACATTTGTTGTTGCAATTCAATAAAGCATATTTTAAATTTTCGAAACTTCATCGTATGTAATAATTTTTAAAAATTGATAATCCCAGCCAAGCAATAAAATATAGTTCTCATATTGATTCATTTCTATTGTACTGATACTTACTCAATGGCATAAATGCGAGCGAAGCCGCAAGTGAAAGCTAGAAGTTATTGAAATCTATAACGATACATATTCTCCAATCAAGTTCGTGTAAAAGTTGTCTTGAAGTAAAACTCAAAATTTTTCGAAATTTTTTTTGATAACTATTTCGTCGATATTATAAATGGTCATCTTAAAAAACTGCTGTATGGAAAGATAAAAAAATATATGTTTTTTTTTCAGATATACTTATATCCGACTTAAAAATTGAAAAGTCAATCAGTTATATAGAAAAAAAATCTACACTTGATAGAAATTTATTTGTATTCCCAGGAACGATATATTCATCGACAAAAAGCCAAGAGGCTTCCTCTAGTGAAATCATTATATATATTTAACAAATTTCATTCATTTTCCTGAAGTATATTTTGTTATAAGCATTTTAGTGTTTTAGAAATAATCAAATTTGAACGCATTTCCTCTATAATTTTACCTGTAATACAATTCTTAAACACTACAATTACATTTTCACCAAAAAGAGTTTTTACCTGTAGCACTGCGATGAACGCAAAAACTGTTAATATTTTGTTCATATTTTCACCTGATTAACGAAATGAACCAACTGAATGTCGAGTGGGCTATGACAGGTTGTGATATTTTCCTTTTTATCTATTTTCAAGCCAAGTCATTAAAATTATCAGCAGCAATTTCAGCCAGAAATTGAAATAGCTACTCATGATTATGAATTTTTCCATATCTTTATCATTCATAATAACTTAACGATAGAGGTAGTTAAAGCTTTCTGACTAACAAAAATTATCTTTTATTCTAATGTTGTGACAGAAATCCGTTTCCTTCAGAAAATCAAATCACAAAATAATTCTTATTGATATACGTCCAGAATACATATTGAAGTGAAATAGCTTTGGATCTCTGAAAAACTGATTGAATACCATATTCTCAGAACATTCAGATATTCGACAAAATTATGACGAATCTCTGAATGTGATGAAAAAAATTTATTTGTATAGGAATGTGTTCTAAATTAAAAATGTCCCTAATAAGTAGGGTAAAACCGGGATAGATGCCCCAGCGGGATACATGCCTCATATCCTAAAAAGCTAACTTCCCGAACTCGTAACTAAAAATTAATTCTATCAGTAGGAGCCGCAGTCACTCCGTACCTCAGTTACCCAAAAAACATATATAAAATAGATTATAGTTTGAGGTTCATAGGATCAGTTTAAACTCCTAGGTTAGTTTATAATATTTTTGAATAATGAGTGAAACACACTTTTTGTATGTTTCATTATTGAGTTTAGTAATTATCTTGAATAAAAGATAGAGGACGAATCTCCTTTGATGTCCGATGTCAAAGCTTAATTTTGCAATATACCTCTTTGGGGAGCCTTGTTTTTTATTATTTAAAGATTGAATCTTCTGCCGATCCCAAAAAAGCTATTTTGTAAGGAAAGATGTTCTAAACATTTCCTACTTGGGCTCTGGTTTCAATTGCAATATGTATTTATATTAAATGCAGGAATATCTGTTCTCGCACAGCATACTAATCCCAATAGTTGCCTTTTCTTACAGTAGCAACACTTGATCAAAGGGCGAAGATGAAGATAAGTGAATATTTGCGTTACTGCTGAGCTGGTTATCAAATTTATTCAAAACGGTACAGTAGATCGATAGATATATTCGTTTATTCAACAGTCTAATTCTCACAAATTCTGAACAAAATAGTATATCTCGTATACCTTTGAAGAGTTGATATACCGAGTATTTGAAATTCGACTTTCACCACTGAAATCTCGAAAACTATAGTTACAAAGTTACAAAGACTGTAAAGTTGGGGCAGAGTTGTACATTTATGTGACCCACAGCGTAACCAACAAAATGCCATTTGGGAAATGTAAAATGTTTCAAATGTTCCGCCGTACAAGTATCACAGACACGTGTCACTTTAATCGATCAAGATGTTAATTGTGGAACATGTTGTGTAATAGACAATATACTCTGACCGCAAAACTGTACTTTTTGACTTTCTTCAAAGCACAAAAAATAAAAATAGTTTTGACAGTTTAGCGAACGAAACGTTTGTAACATTGAAAATGCCTTGATGAAAGAGAACTGGATAGACCTCCACTAAATTTCTGAAATGTATCCTTATATTATTTAGATTTGAATTTTCCTGAAATTTAATATAAAAGTAATAAATGTCCCTCCAAAAGTTGGGTTACCGAAAAAGTGAAAATATCTAGTGAAACATTAAAAGACTTTTTTGTCCTTTAATTAATTCAGTTAATTCCTATTCATGAATATCTAATGTTTCTTGAGATACTAAAGACGATAATAATAATAATTTCGCTTCAAAAAACTTCAAGTGACTTTCCATTTGCTTTTTATGTATTTTAGTTTTGTTTTGTATCAAATTCAATATATTTTATTTCATTTCTGACTATTCCTAGACCTTTTCTCTCAAAAAAATATATTATTATTGGGTATATCTACATAATTCTTCGAAGTGTTGAAATTCCAAACAACTTTGTGACTCATTCCATAAACTCAATCTATGACGCATTAGTACCATACCTTATCACACAACCCCCCAAAATATTTTGAATAATCTCAGATAAACACAATCATTCTGTTAATTGATTTTGGTTATTGAACTGTGCGGATTGTCATATTGTCAAATGATTTTTTTCAATAATCACCCATTATTATCAAGAATGATAAATAAAATTACAATTCCATTAGTAGAAAAATAATATTCATTACGTAATGATATGCACGTTTCCGTTTGAGTGATGTTTGTTTTGAAAAATGAGTCAGTCACATGAGCTTCGTTCTAAAAGAATACAACTAGTGTTAAACATGATATTTACTCTTGTGGTTAAATAAAAAATCTCATATATCCACCTAATCCTCTTTTACGTTTTCATTGGAACAAATTCAGTACAACACAATATATAAATGTATTTCATATAATCTGAATGGAAAAAAATGTTTGTTAATGAGATCCATAACTTTTGCTACTAACAGGAGATGTTTTTCAATTGTTGAAACTATCTGAACTAACCGAGAAATGTTAGATCTATGACATCACGAATCAAGTGAAACAGTATCCTGCATTATTTAAAAAATATGAACACTGAATTATACAGAAGACACTATCCTCTACTCAGTATTCCAAACATTCGTTATGAAATAAAATCAGATATCATTCACAGGAGTTCTACACTAAATGAATGGTGAAAAAATTGGACTTACATGAAACACTGTCATTCTCACTGGTAGACATCGATGTTTCGCCGTAAGACACTTGCCTTAGGGCTCTTCAGTACCAATCCGAAAAAAAGTTTATGGCTTTCTACTACCCCATCTTGATACAAAAAAAATTGGGAATCTTCCAAAGAAAGGAAGGAAGTAATCAATTTTAAAACGAATAACTATATACATGGATGTGTAGGTCATGCAAAGAAGTAACTTTCAGACACAAACTGGAAAAAAAAGCCCTCCTGAAAAGCTACTTATAAAGATTGAATTACACGAAAGGAAAATTATTTCCAAACAAATACTTTTATATGAACACTGAATTATACAGAAGACACTTTTCTCCACTCAGTTAGTATTCCAAACATTCGTTATTAAATAAAATCAGATATCAGTCACAGGAGTTCTACACTAAATGAATGGTAAAAAAGTTGCACTTACATGAAACACTGTCATCTTCACTGGTAGACATCGATGTTTCGCCGAAAGACACTTGCCTTAAGGATCTTTAGTACCAATTCGGATAACATTATAAGAATATTATAACATTTAATAAATCCCAGCCAGCTCTATTTCACAAATCGTCAATCTTTTGTCTCTGAATAGAGACTTCGTCAGGACGAAGTCTCTATTTTTAAATATTCCAACTGGAGCGCCAGCCGCGGAGGAAAAGACGCCTTCATTTTTCATCACTGTTTCTCCGTACCGGTATATTTTCGGAAGCTGAAATTTTGTGTATAGGTTCATATTTCAAGGTGTAGACATACAATAATAAAGAATTTTTAAATATTCTACCTGGGGAGCACCTCTGGGAATTAAAGGGGCGCATCAAATATGAAAATTATCTTTTCATCACTGTTTTTCCGTACTGCTATATTTTCGGAGGCTGAAATTTTGTATGAAGTTTCGTTTTATCGGATTTTTGAATATTCCAAGTTAGGCGCCAGTCGCGGGGGAAAAAGGAGCGTTCATGAAATGAAGGTACCTTTCCATCACTGTTTCAGGTGGGTGAATTTATATTTAGCATCAGCATTGCACTCGTGCGGAGGCTGGGCTGCTCGATAGTATGGTATATAGGACATAGAGATATCTACCCTATATTGGTTATCTACTCATATAGTACCGTTCAAATGTCATGCTTCAATCAACTGAAATTCAAATCACTCATAAATGTTGATGGAATTTTTCGCTGCACAAATTTATTGTTGAAAATAACGAATTGATGTTATCGATAATATGTATAATATATCTAGTATTCTTGAAAGTTGCTCTCCAAGGAGGGTCCATATGTTTAAGAATATTTTCTCTACGGAGGACAACCTTTAGAAGTCTAAACTTGCACGTGCTAAGAATTCTTACAATTTCAATTTTTCTTCATAACAAAATACTTTTTGACTGAGTCATTCTTTGAAGTGTGGATAGTTGAATAGATCAGCTTTTTGGCATTTTTTTGGCATAACTTCTGAAACGTCCGATATACAGGGTGGGCACCCCATTATTGGAACAAACCAATATTTTTTTTTGTAAATTTCTCCATTCCATTATATTTATATTGTCAAAAGGAAATTATTTTGGATTCTACAAGATCAAAAAAATGTGACATATCGAAGCTGTAGTTTTTAAATGGAACACCTTGTACTTGATTACACTTTTGAATAGGTCAAGACAAAAATAATATGATTTCATAAAAGGTACCATGTCCCAACTCTAACCGTTTTCGTGTTATTGATTTTTTTATGAAAATGCTAGGTGCAATTGGAAACCAAACTTCGAAATGTATAAAAATCATCCCTTCGAATCCTGACCAAGCACAAAAGAGGTTTACATTGAACAATATGTTCAAAAATCATTGTCACATTTTATAATTTCGGATAAAGGTGACTTTCAAATAGAACATTGGTTTTTTTTTAGTATAGTGATCAATTTTATGGCATCTGAATATAGAATTGTGAGGAATATCATTTAAAAAACTTTAATTCAATGTCTTTATGGAAACACGTTTTATATCCCTTTTTTTCATTATAGTTAATAGTAATGATGAATTCAATATGCTTACAAATTAACTAACAATACTTGTTGGAACTAGTAACTAGGTTTATTCATTTATATACAATCAATTTAATTATTACATTTCAATTTGAAATATTTACATAATAATGAATGTGTATGCCCCGTCGAGAAGATATAAGGGAAATTTATGGTGTGATATTTCTACATGTCGTCTGCTTCTCTAATAACATGTTCAAAACATTTTCTCTATTTTTAGAAATCGATATTGTTCAAGGACTCCTTGAAGAGTGTTTTCACATTTTTTGTTTTGAATGTCATGTTCATTTTTCAACCATACTCTTATCGAACGGTATGTTTTTTTATCAAAGTCAC